ACACACACACACACACACTCGATTGCACCACCAACCCTGTGACTCTGACCTGCTCCACCTTTGATTAAGTGTGCTAGTTAGTCAGAACTGTCAATAATATCGACTATTGTTAACGCAACCTATTAACTTTCTTTATTTAAACTTCTTTATTTAAAATTATCATCTATTAGCTGCAGCTGTGTTTCCATGGCATTTTTTGTGAAATGGGTCCCACTAGGCAAATTAAACAGCTATGAAGGTACTGTTACAGGTGCTGCAGTTTGTTCAGCTGATTCTTTATTTTCATAACTTTCTGCAGCCTACCTGCTGTACTGCACCTCTCCACCTCTGGGGACACGTGTTATTGATGTTATTATCACTGCATTGCCAGCCCTGACTCATCATTGTCCATATTCATTGAAAATCTAAGTCATTACAAAGTGATTCACTATTTACTGAACTACTGTCTGTATTGTATTCAGGCTGGACACCCACGTTGGTGGCTGGCTGATCAGACCTGTCCTCAGGACTGTGTAGGTGTGTGTACAGACTGTGTTTGATTGGTATCGGTGACTCTCCGGTTTGTTTTACACCTATTGAACCATAATAACAGATTTTTTTTGGCCACTTAGGAGCAGAGGAAAGTTGCGAAGTCATATATTGTCATTTTTAAGTTGCTTCCCAAATGAAAGCATCGAGAGGGATCACAAACAGCTGTGGGCCGAACAGCTAAACAATGAGCTGAAACCTGCTTGAAAGCTCTGTAAAGCCGAGAGGAGCTGCAGGTCATAATTCAGTTCAGGTTAATCACGGGGGACTTTACCTATCATTTGATACTATGTTATTATGAAAAGATAATCATTATAGCTGCTTTAAAGAGAATTTTAAAAACGTTTTGCAAATAATTTAGAGAATTTTTAAACAAATTAATCCCACTAGAGGTTGTCAAAACTTCACAGGTTTGCAAGGTCTTTTTGATTTTAAAGGGTGTAAGATAATTTTTAAAGCCTATATGTCAGAATTTCATCCATCTCTGCGAAGAAAACCAAATTAAACTGTTATTTTTTATAGTTTGGATCATTATTTCAACTTATTTTGAACAGGATAAGGGCAAAGGGAAAACCTGAGCACATGCTACATCTATATTCACGCTGATAAACAGCCTTGTCCTGCATTATAAAAGTACACTGTTAAAACAACCGAAGAGCTAGTAGAACAATGAAAAAGAAGCTAAATTTAGCTAAGGACATTAAGTATGTATAACTGTATACATAAAAAGGACAGAAAATTTTATAAAAAGTTATTAAATAGAAAATCTGCTCAAAATTAATCGAAATTGTTTGTTTTACACAAATGTCCTGCAGTTATTGCCTTCACTATTTGGGTTAATTGTACAATTTATCAGTTGTTCTGTATTGTTATTATCCATTGAATTTAATCGTATTAATATACTATTTTATATATATATATATATATATATATATATATAATAGTATATCCATAAAACATGTCACTTAGTCAGGGGCCAATAGTTTACTCTGTGATAGAAAACTGTATTTAAACTAAATGTATGTTTAAATGCTGACCTTGATTACATTTAAAGTAAATGGTGTCTTGTCAACACCCTATTCTCATTCTTACAGGGTAAAATCATCGATGAGAACCTCTATAAAAAGATTTATGGTGTTATCTACTGGAGGTGAAAAGACACCGTGCTACTTTCAGAACAAAGCATTTTTAACCTTCAAAGAAAAAAATTAGCAAGATTACTTTGATGTCAAAGAGCAGAATGTCATGAGCTCATATTTAAGGTTATATCTGCATTAAGAAATGTCTGATGGCTTTATTGTGCGGCTGGTTGTTGCATTTAGAAAAAAGAAAACCTGGCATTTAATCGTTCAAAATGATTCGTCAACTGGTACAAAACACAAACTGCCTCATATTTCCACTGAAAACCTGATTTCACATCAGCATAAGCCTGTTTGAATAAGTGGGTGTTAATTATATTTAAATATTCGATAAAACACCTGAACCTTCCACTAATGTTCATTCACCAAATAGTGTATGCATATTAATGAAATCCCATCTCATCAATCCACCGTGAAAATCCATTCATCTGGTTTTAGCCCGTGTTCTTTTGCCCTTTACAAATATTTTATGAGAAATACTGTAACTGAATATCAATGTTTTCAATATCCATCTTTTTTAAACTGATGAAACAAGATAGATACCTGGCTCTTTTTATTTTTACATTTACTGTAAACAGAACAAAGGTGGCAGGTTTCAAAAATCTCTTTAGCATTTTCACTTTTTTTTTTATAATTATTAATTGAAGTTAGCGAATGCCCCTATCTAGAGTCAATGTTTGGTTTGTCCATTCTAGGCTACTGTAGATACATGATGATTGCTTGAAAGGCAACTTTATAAAAGGCTCACTCTATGATAAACATAATGATTCTTATTTTTAGGTGATTATACACTAATGAAAACATAGTTGCACCCATTATGTGTTGAAGTGTTAGTTGAGCTAGCCGCTCAAAGAGGCTAATCCTCCTGTGTCACAATCTGCAGAGTCAGGAGAGGTTGTATAGGAGCTGACGGGGGGCTGGTTGGTGACGAACGCTGTCACCATATACATCGCCTGTCTCCAGATCAGCCAATAGCAAAATTCAACTGCAATAGCTGGATTTCAACCAGTAGAGGGCGGTCGCTATGGAATACAATACAATACATATGGAAAGCTTGGCCCGTTTGAAAAATTACCTCAATGTATCTGAATAAATCTATATGCATGTCATTTAAACACAGTTCATAATAAAAGACAATGATAAAATGTCGATAACACAGCGGTATTACAGATACAAAGGATTTTTTCAAAATATTATAAATTTGCTTTGGGGTGCGTAACGATAAAAACATAACCAGAGATTGGATTCTGACTGTAAAACCTAAATGGGTCCCTCACTAATGCACTCAAGCTTAAATTGCAGATTTAATTATAAAATCTTCTGTAAGAGCGGTACTATGACTCATGCCATATAATATAAAAATAACTCAAACTGGACGAGAAGAGCAAAAACTTTCCCATCTCAAATGTCTGTACCACTTTTACAATTAAACTGATCCCCGCGGTAAGTGTGAATCATCATAATTTAGCATTTTAAAAGATGAGATGGCTGCTTCTGATGTGCTTTCTTGAAGACATGTGAGCTGTTAAAACCTCACACACGTCAACAAGCCCTGAGTCCATTTGGCCGCATCTTAGAAACTGAAAGAAACAAAACAATAAAATCATGTAAATATCACTATTTATGGCAAGCAAGGCTGGATTATCTTTCTGGGCAAAGTAAGCATTTGCCCTGAAGCCCCAAACCTTCAGGGGCCCGAAAGCTACCAGAATAATCTTGTGTGTTTTGGTACCTTTAACTTTGTGTGATACATAATCCTAAATAAATGTGTGTGAAGCCCACAACCCTCTGGCAGGTTTGAAATTCATGATTTCTTAAAAAAATCGTCAAAATTACACATTTATCATAGCCAGAAACTATAAAAACAGAAATGATTGGACAAATCATGTGCAACAATTGCTTCTGTCAGGAAAACTGACCAAATGAAAATAACTTTATTCTAATGTCTGACCAGATCCTGTAAAAAACAAACAAACAAAAACTTTAAATTCTGCACTCCCCAGTGTAACTTAAAGACTTGGCTGAGACCAACAATCAACAACAGCAACAACAAATCAGCCAATTCAACTGAACCGCAGTCTGTGTTTACACATTTTTTTCTTTTATGATTAATGGCATGACTGTGGCAACTGTGTTACACTGCACATAAGCCATTTTTGAGTTCTTCCTTCTAGCCATGATTGTTCCTATATAAGTGCAGGACTCACAGATGGAGGACAATTTAAAGGAAACACTAACACAAACTTCCAAGTCTCTGGAACACTCTCTATTCTATTCCCTCCATAGATGTTCACAATTGATTCACATCCTTTTCATCCTCGTCGAACCGTTCAATGACCCCTCGTATCCTGTTTGAAAGCATCTGCATTTGTCATGTTTCTCTACTCATTCATTCAGGCTTTTCTTTAATTTGTCACCCATCTGTGAATATTAAAATATATTGAAGTGAAAAACGAGCCCACAGTGAATAAGAGCAAAAAAAAAGCTAAGAAACTGCTTCTGTGGGTTAACTAAATTACCACAAACAGAGGGTTAATGGGGAACTGTTTTTGTACACAGGCCTCTAAATTGACCATTATAGCAAGTGAGTGAAATCAGTTTAACATTTCCTGATGGAGCAAAACGGAGCACATGCCTAATAGAAAGTTTGTGAGCATACGTTCATGAATTTGTTCACACAAATTACAAAGCTGGAGCTGCGAAATAATGAAAAAACGGATGCAAATTAGGCAAAATGAGAAAATGATGTATATCATCTTCATTCAAATTAATGAGAATGAGTAAATGAGGTCTATTTTTGCCTCCACACAAAATCATCTCATGCTGTTGATATAATCAGTCCTGGCCTCAGAGTGGGTTTTATTCCTCTGTGGCACCTTCAGGGAAACACTGTAATTGGTTAGTTGGTGCAGCCATTTCACAAGTGCAGTTCCAGCGAGGAGAAGGGGAAAAAAGGATGTTGCAGGATGCTGTGTCTGGCTCTATGCAGTGACAGTAAGTGATATAAATATCTTTGTGGTAAAATGAATGCAACAAAACTAAAATGTAGCTTGACTGTTACTTGGCAGGTGATCCGTGGCCTCAAAAGACAGGTAACTGAATGATTGACACCAGGCACACAGCTGACATTTCCAGGCTGGGCAGCCCACAATGATGTGTACTGTGCAACAGTAAAAGTAGGCATGCTGCAGAAACGGGATACAAGTTAAAAAAAGAGACATATAGAGGAAAGTAAAGATACCAACCATGAGCTGCAGGTTCAGTGCTGGGCGCAGTGTCTGAGCACACAAGGAGAGGACATGGCAGTTGAGGAGGGAGGTGTGGAACAGGAGGAACAGCATGCAAATAAAGGAGAAATGGGGGAGGAGGCAGGGAGGGAGCGGGGCAGGGGAAGAAAACAAATGACACCCATAAGCAAGCATTCAGAAGACCAGAACATGACAAAAGACATAAGGCTTAAGGGAAATCAAAAGGAACCAAAGGCAGTGCTGAGATAAACACAGGCTTTTACATACACACACACACACATACAATTTCCACTGCACACACTGGACGTTGCACTCAGAGGGGAGCGTGGCTACTGCTCGAGGAGATATGGAAGAGACTATTATCATATGCTGTAGGCAGCTTTGGTGTGGAAAAAGACAGACTATCAAGAGGAAATAATTGTGCAGCTGTCCTAATGTAATAGTGTACATCTTGGAAAACACTTTACCATCTATTAACAAAGGAAATACTTTGAATGGCAATGACTCAAGTAGATATAACAAAGCAACAGTGTTCAGTGTTGTAGTGGCTTGGTATGGGTTCACCAACATGGTTTGATATTAAATGTACGACTTTTTTAAACACCTAACTTTCATTTTAAATGAAGTTTACTGTAGTAGCCTTGCCCTAGTACTAGTAACCCCTAATGTCTAGGTCTGCTGGAGAATATGTGATGTAATTGCAACCTGTGTCCTGATTTCCACCAGATGCATGAGTGTGGACATGATTGTGGGATTGCATGTTTCAGAAAGTTACAAAAATGCTCAGGCACAACCCCCATTGATTCCACCGTCTGAAAGGGGGTTTCAGATGCTGCTGGATGAGATTTGACAAGCACACTGTGTGAAGCACCTACTTCCACTCTGTCTAAAACCTACATTTCTCCATAGATGGTACATCTGTGCTGCTGCACAGCATCTTCAAACTGCTCCACCAGTTCTGTCAGCAACACAGGTGGTCAGCAGGAAAATGTTTTAGATTCATTTTGAGGTTGTTATTTACATATCTGAATGTTACCCGATGTAAAAAACAACTTATGTAGACATATCATATGTAAGAATGTGTTTTTTTGTCCTCCATGGTCATTTTAAAGGGAGAGTTTGTGTTTTTTGAAGTGGGGTTGTATGAGTAGTCATTGGCTCTCAGCATGCCCACAATTTTGGAGAAGCAGACAGGAGGACTTCCACGGAAGCTAAGCAATAGAGTTAAGGCCTAACCCTAACCCGCTCTGGATGGGGTAAGCAGAAATTTTGTTCCGATGGGAAAACTGAAACTGATGTCAAAGGAGTCGGTTGGCTTTGAGAGAGTGATATAATAACTTCAGCTGTCTATACGTTTTTTTAGATGGGCCTTTTTTTTTGCTATGATGTAACAGTTACAAATGAGACTGCAGACCTTTGCACTCCAGCCTGTCAAAGCTGAGGGAAACCGAAGCAGGGAACTAGCTGAGAATGAAATGCTGTGCTGCAGGAAACATATGCCTTTTAAGAACACTTCTGAGGGAGATGCTTGCCCACGACAAATGTGGCTTGTATGAAAATATATATAAATATCTAGGTGTTTATCAAAGCATCTTAATCAAAGTGTCAACCTTTAAATACAGAAAGCGCTGAAATTAATCTAAAATGATAAAAGCAACATTTGGTCAACTCTGGAATATGGGCAGAAAAAAGAAAAACAGATTGTGTTCAGTCAGACAGACAGTTTCAACAGCTGCAATGTCATTTTAAGAGGCTAAATGTACATAAGTGTGCCTTACGTTACTTTGGCGTTCTGTCTTAGCAGAGACGTGAGAAAGTGCCTGTGAGCTATCAAGACCCAGACAGATGTTTGTGTAAGAGAGAGAGAGAATGGTGCTCAGTACTAACGTGTAATTGTTCGGGCAGCAGTAGGCCAATGCCACATCTTAGCTCAGCCGCCAGAGGCTCAGGGTGCGGAGAGCAATCTCACAAGATGAGACTGTGAGATCGAGTCCATCTCAGAATTACTGAGGCCTCTGAGGATCCATTTTTCTACAAGGGCCTTGAGTAGTTGAGACATGTCAGTGCTAAATAATGCCACAGGGCAGTCTTTTTACTGACAATTTCTTAGCATATTTGTTTGAAGTACAGCTCAGCTAAAAACAGTGTTAGTGCCTCAGCATAATTTACAGACATGATTTTCCATTATTGCTGCATGGTTTTATTGTAGTTTGCACCTGCACTTAAGTTTGGCCTTAACCCAGGCTTTATGTTATCACACAGCTAGCTCATTTTAAGCCAGGGTAGACTGCATGCATAACCTTTGCCACATGGCAATTCTGCTCTGGAGCAAGTTTAGCTCAGAGGACCAATACAATACATGTTAAACATCCCTCTTACCCAGTCAACTTACTGGATCCTGATAACAGCATCCCGCCACAGACAAAAGCACTGTGTTTAAGTAAAGTAATAAAGATCACCCTGTGAGGAGATGGAAGACATGTTTGTAGCATACTAATTTACCCACTTTGGCTTTAATATAACAAGCAGGAAGCTAGCTGATATCAATAATATGTGATATTTACAGTTGCATATTAATTGCGCTGGCGTTTTTTCAGACACAACAGGATTGTTGACAAGTATTGGTTCATTGCAACCTATTTTGTATTTTTTCTACATTACTGCAGCCCTGAGGGGCAAGAGGCAATTTCCTTATTTCAAGATTCTACGGTTGTGTTAAAGTATTTACACTGTAATCTATATTTAAAATAAAACATATCAAGTATCACACTAAAATTTGTTTTCATTAAGTATGGGGATACTGCAACATCCCCTTCTTTAAACATTTTATACACACAAGATTCAAAACATTAATACAGCATGACAATTTGCTATGTAAAGATATAATGAAGGAAGTCACACTGTATAAAAGAAAGCATATAGCAGCTTGGAAACA